TCCCATCTTCTCGGGATGCTGAGGCAGGAGAATTGCTTGTAACTGGAAAACAGAAGGTGCAGTGAGCCGGGATTGCGCCACTGCACTCTAGCCTGGCAACAGAGCGAGACTGTCTCGAAAAAAAAAAAAAAAAAAAAAAATGCTGGTACTTCTCCCTTTCCAGAATTGGAACAGACTGGTTAAATGATGAAGTCTGGAACCAGTCAGGACACAGAGCTGTCTCACAAAAAGTAGGTTCTTGATAAATCACTTAACCTAGGTATGTTACTTCAAAGTACAAGTGTGATCATGCTCAATAAGGCCTACGTGCCCATCTCATTCTGACATTCCATCACATTCCCATTTCTCCCAAACTATGCTAAGTCCTTGAGAGGAAGGGCTGTGTCTTAATTCTGTTCCCAGCACCTGGAATAATTAGGGGTCTGGAAAAATAATCTGTGTCTGTTGAATGAATAAGTGACTGATGGGCTCCATGACGTGACTGCAGCTCCTCATAAAGGTTTATTTATATAGAATACTTGTAATGTTACAAGTATTGAGGCAAGATGAAAGCGAAGTTACTTTTAGGGTTTTTCAAAATTCAGTAATGGTTCTAGAACTGCCATTTATATTTATGCCTGTTCTAAGAATTTCATGCATTTTTCTTAAAATCTTATACATAAATTCTACAGAAGAAAGCAAGCCTTCAGTTACCTCTACCAAAGCTAAGCAACTTTAAAAGGGGAGGGGGATGACCATGTATTTCATTAAAAGGAAAAATCTAGATCTGACACCAGTTTCCTTACAAAGGTCGGTCAGCAATCCCTAATTGCCAATTCTGAGATCCAAAAAATCTCTGAAAACCTAGTTTTTCCAAAAGTTTGTGAAAAAAAATTGATCTAATCGATGTAAGGCAGATAGCTTACTGCCTTACATAGTTAATCCCAGTTACTATGAAGTCTGATTATAACTGCAGAAATACTAATGTTTGATTATGGGGTGCTGCCCCAGGTCCCATTGATGGTGTTATATAATCTACATTATATATATCATCTCTGAAAAGGAGAAAATTCTGAATTCTAAAAACCCAAGGGTTTTAGATAAAGGATTATAGTATACTTACAAAGAAAAGTAAAAGCAACGGAAGCCTCAGGCCGTATACTATTGCCATCTGCTGATGTTGATATAGAACTACAACTATGTAATCAAAATGGGAAGATTTCATCTTATTTGGTTAACAGCAGCACACTCATAACTTGGAAAATAGTTGAAATTTTATTTTCAAAAGTAATTATTAAAAAAAAAAACCCTTATGTGCAAGAGTTGATGTGAGGAAAAAAAAAAACCCTTAGTGAAGTTTAAACAGGAAACCTCTATAATATTTGCAAGACTTTACCTAGAAGTTGATTTACACACCTTGATTTAATGTAGTTGAACACCTTTTAGATTTATCTTTAATGCATGGTGAGGGTATGCTAGCTAACCCTTTGGGGTGCTATTTTTAATTCCTCTTGTATTAAGCTGGGCCAAAAGCCACAGGTAAGGACTGATGCCATCAATGCTGTACCAACAAAATACTCAGAAATTGCTCTGCTGACTATTTCCAACAGAGCTAAAACCAACGTCAAGGTTACAGAATCTCATGTTTTATATAACGTATAATCACAGGTGGTAGTGATCCTCTCTATAAAACCTATTCTAGACCATAATAGCCTTTTGGGGTACAATCATCTCTTTCTATCCTACCTAGATAGTTCTAAGTTCCCTAGGAGTTAAACGTACTGTCTTGTTTGCCCCCAAAGATGTAAGCTTTTGAACGCTAACGTCTTCTTTTACTTTCTCTTCCTCCCTAACTACCATGATTAGCAGCAGCTTGTCGGCACAGAGGAACCATATAACAAATACTAAGTTTGTGATAATGAATTTTATTGTGCTGCATTTACTTCTGAGGAGTTACCGGAATGGGACTTTCAAAATTAGGCCTAATTATGTTCTCTGTGTTAAGGCTATTTTAGAAAAGATCTTTCTCCTCTCCAGGAAAAAATGTGTCTTTAAATAAATCACAAGGATTCAATGTAAACCATCGGGAAGGAATAAAAGACCTAAGGTCCCAAAAAGAACTACAACTGTTCTCTTTATTGCACACGAGAAAATATGCTGTCAGGACTTACAACTCTTAACAACTAATGGTCTGTGGCCCTCTCTTTGGTTCTATTAATATTTACGGGTCAAATCTTATATCCTCCTTCTTTCCCAAAAGGCCTAAATTCATTAATTTGCTGAACTCAGTAACTAATTAGGACATCACCTGACCAGATTTTAGGGACTTTCTCTTTTCCACTTCGTTACAAGGCAGGGGATCACAGTCACTTATTTGAGTGTCCCTCTGACATCTAACTTCCAAGTGAAGAAAAAAAGTACGAATTGAAACACCACTTTGGGTTGTTTCTAGTCTCAGATCCAAACTGATAGAGAGAGCCTGTTCTGGACACCAACTTCTAAATTGATGTGGTCTAATCCTCAGAACACAGGAGAATGGAATGCATGAAATTCAAAATCTTCTCTAAAAATGAGTAAGGGGCTTATTAAGGGGGAAATCCAAAAGTATGTAATTTAAAGAAATTTATTCTTTAAAAATATTTTCATGTACACTTTCATGACTATTTTGAGGGGAACAAGGAGATTATCCTACAGTAATATTAGCTTAAAAACATAAGTGACATGTATAACAATACATTTTGGAAATAACTGGCATAATAAAAACGCAAATGTTTGTAGTGATTTAAGGCTGCAAGATATTTAAGATCTCAGATTAAATGAACCCACATTAGAATAATGCAAACCAAAACTTGCAATTTTACGATTTCTTCATACTATATTATATAACCCTTAATACTATGCATAAACAAGTATACCCCATACCCCATTCCCAAATCATAACTGGAAAGGACAAAGGGAAAGTCTCTCAGAAAAACAGTGATAAATTTGAATGCATAGTACAATATGCATCCTCCTATTTCAATGTTTAACACACTGGCAACAACCCCACTTAATAAAAGAAAACCATGAGTTACTATTTAAGCAAAAAATATTTTTATGGAAAAAAAGTTGAGCTTCTTGCCTAGAAAAATCCTTTAATATCTATGTTCCTAATACAGTAAAACCTTTAAAAATGTGTTAATGAAGATTCAATTTGCATGGGAAATCCACTTTCTTCAATGTGGATAAATATTTTTCACTGGATCACTTTAAATGGCAAAATCTTCAGAAAACAGAACAGAAAAATATAGCATCTTCAATAAACATTTCAAGACAATAAGGTTATATTTACAGGATGCTATCTATAATCAGAGATCACCTAGAAGCAAAAGAAAATTGCTGTCATTTCATTGTCCTTTTGCAGCCAACTATGACCACATAAACTAAGAAGATCCAGGAATCAATGAAATGTGTTCTAGGTGAAGTAAGTTTCACAGAACAAACAATTCTCATAAAATAAGTTTTTCTTTTTCTTTTCCCCCTGAGAATCAAGTTAATCTATCAATGGATTGCAATCAAGACAAAGACAAGAGCTCTAAATCCTCAATCATGTCCAGATCAAAATTATGTAAGACATTTCCACTTAGAAAAGCTAAAAATGTACAAATGAAGAAAATGTAAATAGCAAGACAAGGTGCTTGATAGTACTACTATGGCAGAAATTTATGGTATTTGGTAACATATACAATTAAGTGACACCTGGGAAAAACTTTATTGCTCTTGATGGAATATAGCACCACTTTGAAGACTAAAAGGTGGTTAGAATTAACCACCTTTTAATCAACAATAGGCATTAATAGGAAAGTGCTTAAAGAAGTAGTTCTGGAAAAAAGGTAAGTTAGAGGAAATTTTTGTATTATATATTTTAAATACATTACCCACTTGTCTTCATTAAATAGACAATCAGCAATCTATTTTAGTACTGTAATATCAGATTTGCTACTATCAGTCTGATTATCACTCAATAATATAAAATCAAGGGACAGAATAGTCAAACTTAAAAAACAAGTTAGAACATTATAAAGTAATTTTATGCCAAAAACATTCAGATAATTATTGCTTAAATATACAACAATCACACCTGTGAAATTTTCCAAATCAGAATTGAGAAAATTTCTTCTGTGTGCTATAACATTTATCCACATGGGAGAGAGGAATATCTAAAGGACGTGTAGCAATTGCCTAACAACTATGGAAAATAGCTCAATTTCCCCCTGAACAATTTCTAAAAACTAATGCTACAATGGTCATTCAGGAATCAGAAGAAAACATGATTACACACATGCTAGAAAACAGCCAAATGATTTCAAGATAATCTGCAACTAGCATTTGTTCAGTCTTTAGAAAGTAGATTTTAAGTTTCCTTATTCTAAAAGAAAAGGTCTGGATGGATAAATTGCTATGCAGAAGCACAAAGTTTTTTTTTTTTTAATGCAATCTTCTATAAGAAGTAATTTAAAAAGCCAAACAATTTAACATATTTAAATGGGATTTCCTCTGAGATTGACTTTCTCTATTAGTTTCTTTCTTTGTTCCTCAATCATCTGCAATATCAGACTTACTACACTGGTAATCTTCATAATAAAATGTGATCCTATCTTATTTAATGTAGCTTGACCTTCTGTAACTATTTCAAGAGTGGAATTTCTAAAAATAATTTTATCCAATGTAAGCAGGCACAGGAATTCTGATAAAATTGGTTAAGTTTAGAGTATTACACAGGTAATATTGCAACGTGATCTGTATATGAGAGAAAATAAGAAATAAAAATCAAACCTCTGTAAATGAAGAGGATTTCAGATGGCTGGCATAAAATAAAACAATTTTATACTTTCATCAGACATTTTTACAAAGAAAATGTCTTGATAATCTTGTTTTCAACTTATACTCATTTATATATATATATATATATATACATACACACATACATATATATATATATATATATTATTGATTGGGTGATGCAGAAAGCCACAAATGAGAAAAGGACACTAAGGTTTTAATAAGGGGAACAAAAAATTGTTTCACCAGTATAGATTCACATTACAGTACACCAATATTGACAGCATTCTCTTGTCTATTTTTGGTACAGAAGATGGTATCTCTCTACATAACCTTATTGTAAGGCTTCAGTAACTAAAATGTAAAACAAAACAAACAAAAAATCCCCCCAAAACAAAACAAAAACCCCAGCCTATTAGTTTACAGTTTATTTTAAAAATTCCGAAAGACACTGCAAGTTCTAAACTTTTAGTAGTGCTACCCATACACAACCATCTGGTTAAGAACCCAGTAAAAGAACCTCCTTCCAAGGAAGCTTTGCAACAGTAGAGTTGTGCAATATGGATGTTTCTTACTACAAGAAAAAAATCATACATGGCACATTCTCATTCATATTCTGTAATGTAAAAAGTTACAAACATACCTAATCAAATAAATAATAATAAAAAAAAGAATTTGAATGTATTTGTTAAGTATCCTAAAACCACTACATAGAATAATGGCAACTTTCACTCACAGATTATTTACATGGTAATACCCAGTGTGGGTACACTGCTACAAAACTCAAAACAGAAGGAGTAAACTTGAAATGTTTTCCATAATAAAGATCTAGCAGCATGACTATCTAATGCTGTTTTATCCCGATTGCTTCCGAAACGTTCCTTTTTAGTCTGTGTCTTCATCCAGTTCATAATTGTCTTTATCATAAATATCTTTTACTAGAAGAACCCGTACAAGCATATTTTCCAAGGTGTTTCGGTCCAGTGAAGTAGATGTGTACCAGACAGGGCTATCTGTAGAACTAGAGCATTCTGGTTGCAAATAAAAAACATCCATTCTCTGATTAAGATTCTGTGGACTTTGGAGGGGGGGATGGAGAGAGAAAAAGTCAATTTCACAAAATACATACAAAATTTCACACAACCTTTTTTCCTTCTTTCAAGAATAATTCAGACCCCATTAATCACGTTATATAATCAGACCCTATGCCTCAATGTCTCCATTACTGTCATTAAAGTATTCTCAAAGTTACTTTCTGTGATAGAGATTTCCTACTACAATTTTAACTCTATTTCACTGAATCCAAAACACTATCAATAGACATACCATTCATTATTTTAATGTTACCATAAAGTAAAACACTGTCAATTATAATTTCAAGATATAACAATTTAAACTGTGCATTCTAGTTTCAGAAATAGTAAAATGTGAAAATGTCTTAGAATTGGTAAAATATGGCAGTATATAAAATTTAAAAATTCTTACAGCACTACATAATTAATAGAAACTTAATTTTTAAAATACCAACAAGGTAATAGTGAGACAGGAATTTCCACGTAGTAAATAGTTACTATCAACTGAAGACCCTGACACTGTTGCAGTCAAATAGGACTACCCTAAACCATGGTGAGAAATACAGGTTAAGCATCCCTAATTCAAAAATCCAAAATCTGAAATTCTTTGAGTGCCAAAATGATACTAAAAGCAGAAAGTTCCACACCTGACCTCATGTGAGGAGTTTACAGCCAAAACACAGGCACACAGATTATTCAGCATCCCCAAGGGGAAAATAAAATCACCTTTAGGCTACATAAATAAAATTATCTTCAGGCTACATGTACAAGGCATATATGAAACATACTGAATTTCATGTTTAGAGTTGTGTCCCATCCCTGAGACATTTCATAATGTATATGCAAATATTCCAAATTCTGAAAAAAATCTGAAATCTAAAATACTTGTGGTCTAAAGCATTTTGGATAAGAGGCATTCAACTTGTACTACTATCATCATAAACATGACATTATTGTTTTTTACAAGTTCTTGAGGGCCATCCCAGGGACCTAACTGTAATTTATAAATTTGTTTAAATAGGGAAGTATATTTTGAATTCATGCTGACCTTTTGAATATTATAGAGTACTTACTTAAAACAACAGGTAAGCATAAAATAATCGATGGTCTCTAAACATTTCCTTGGCTTAAACTTTTAAAAATGCCTGTTGGTCTGAGATTGGGGGAAAAAAAATTCCAGAATATGATTCCATTTTTCATTCCTGCTTGACTGTTTTCTCTTAAATGTAAATACTTCATTTACATTTCCACCTATCTATACTACCTTTGAACATACCTTTACACCAGGCGTTGGCAAACTACAGCCACCCACCTGCTTATGTAAAGTTTTATTATAACACAGCCACACGCCATTAAACTTACATATAGCATATGGCTGCTTTCTAGTTACAAGAGAACCAACTAGTTACAATAGAGATTTATAGCCCCAAAAGCCTAAACTATTTATCATCTGACTCTTTAAGAAAAAGTTTGTGTCCTCTGCTTTGCAGTCATTGGAACTGCTGTAATTTAAAAGAAAATGACAGGCACAGTAGCTCATAACTATAATTCTAGCACACTGGAAGGCTGAGGCATGAGGATCAGCTGAGGTCAGGAGTTCAAGACCAGCCTGGGAAACACAGTGAGATTGTCTCTACAAAAAATACAAAAATTAGCCAGCTATGAAGGCACATGCCTGTAGTCCCAGCAGTCTGAGGTTGCAGTGAGCTGTGATCATGTGCCATTGCACTCCAGTCTGGGTGAGAGAGGAAAACCCCAACTCAAAAAAAAAAAAGACAGCAGTAGTAATTTCATTAGTAGAGGGTGATTTCTTAACACATGCTTAAACTCTAAGTATGATGTATAAGCTGGGTATTTCAAACTAAAAGATTATAACTGAATGAACTCGGGTATAACTGAGAGAGAAGAAATTTCAGAAAAAATCCATTTAAAACACCTATTGGTGACGTTAAATTTAAATCAGCCAACTTCTACCATTTTTAAAAGTTAAGTATGATTAACACTCACCTTTTAGACAAGTAGCATTCAAACATTTTCACAGGACATCTGGAAGGATTGGCTGTGTTTTCAATTTGTTCAAATACTGGTTCGTCATCTTCGTGTTTTCTTTTTCCAGTAGTAATTTTATCTTAAAAAATAAAAATGAAATAAACCTCCTAAACTAATCTTAAAGAAAGACATAAAGATCACTTCTGGTATATGTTATATACCAAAGAATAGGACTAGGTGCCCCTTGGAGTTCTAAGTTAAGGCTCTTCTGGTAACAATTTTTCAAACAAAAGGAACTGAGTCATCTTAAGAAGACATAGGTTGTCTTATTTTATAAAAATGACAGTCCTTAGATTCTTAACAGGTGACCCAGATGGTCTTTAATAATGCAAGGTTTGGATATCCCTACTATAGACAATCTCAAAATGGAAATCCGGGCCAGGTGCGGTGGCTCGCCCCTGTAATCCCAGCACTTTGGGAGGCCGAGGCAGGCAAATCACCTGAGGTTAGAAGTTTAAGACCAACATGGAGAAACCATGCTTCTACTAAAAATACAATGTCAACCAGGCGTGGTGGCACATGCCTGTAATCCCAACTACTCGGGAGGCTGAGGCAGGAGAATCGCTTGAACCCAGGAGGTGGAGGCTGCGGTGAGCCAAGATTGCACCATTGCACTCCAGCCTGGGCAACAAGAGAGAAACTCCGTCACAAAAAAAGAAAAAAAAAGGAAGCTATCTGTTACACTACCTTCATTATCTGTTCCACATAAGGAAGACACTTGGTATCGAAGACATGCTTTGTTTTCCATCGTTAAAGGATTTTTTTTCCAATGCCTAAACACAGTGCCAAAGGAAAGTCTTAAGTGTTGTTCCACTGTTTTCAGGCCAAAATACTTAGTGTTAAAGTAGAACAGTGTATTCAGAAGAGCTACTGGAGAGTGTGATCCTAGTTGTTTTATCCTCCAAAGATAGTCTTCTTCAACTCGAGAGAATATGGACCCTTAAATAGAGAGAACTATTTTAAAAGAATTATAATAAATAAAAGTTTTCATTTAACCATCTAGAAGTAGATACACTTAATTTAAGGACAAATCTATACCAATTCTCCATTAATTTAGATCAACTAGAGTAATTTTAGAAATACTTATGCAGTTAATAATACAGAGGCTACTATGGAATTATTATCTATGGAATAAGGGACTGGGTGTTTGCTTCTGTTCTTCAGTAGGACAAGCAAACAGTGGTCAGAAAAAAATGTAAATCCTTTTAAAATTAAAATTGGGGAATTAAAATTCCTGAAAAAAAGTGGTGACTCCATATACATACACATTTTCTTCATATGTTGAAAACAGTGGTTTAAGAGAAATTTATATCAGAAGTGCCACTAGAAGGCTTAAGACATGAACATCCAGTCTCATACTCCAGAGGAAGTAGATCACATTTCTTACAAAGTTCTTCATAAACACTAGTTATTGACCACATTCATTTCTAATTCAACAAGAGGTGAACATCAGGTAAGCTCATGAGTAAGTGTTCAGGAAATGTTATCTAATTTAAATGACTTCTTAATATTTTCAAACATACTCTGTAAAAATAACAATCCCAGTATCAAGAGAGCAACACCTTTATTTAAAACAGCATTACCATCTGGAAGTATGCTTGGTTGCCAGCTTCGTAGTATTTTATTCAATTCTTGCTCAAAAGTTTGGTATCCAGGATCAATAAATATGTTGTCTTTTCGATTACTTCCACACAAGTACTACAAAAAAAAAAAAAAAAGCCCCACAAACTTTCTTGAAAGAAAATCAGCTAATTATAAATAGTGAACATATTATACTCTTTAAGAAAAAAATTAAGTTTTATGTCTTTTAAATACAAGCATACTACTAATAAAACATGAGATGACTGATTTTATGAATGTACCTAGAAATTATAAAAAATCATAAATTGTCAACAGATCTTTTGCTTGAAGCACTCAAAACTGAAATACCCCAGAAACGAGAATATAAAAACTGGATGATAATCTTCAGTCTGTCAGACAAAAAACAAAACAAAACAATATTTGTTTCCAGTATTTATTATATAGTACATAAAGAGAAATTTAAATTTAAAAATAAGAGTGATTTTTTTTTTTTAGTTTTTTTTTCTTATAAAGTAAGAGTAATCAAGGTAGTAACTAAAGAAAAAAACCACTGAGTAGTAAGGATGGGATGAAATGTTATCTGTAGCTATTGAAAGCTCTGTTCTAGCACTCTGACTTTGTCAGGCTAATGCTTTTCTCTTATTGTCTCTGTATTTCTAATTCTCCACCTGTACAACAGTACAAATTTATGAATCTTGTAACTCACTGTCACAAACCTAGAAAAACCTTAACAGTGAGGGTGGTTACAAAATCATTTAAAGTACTAATGTTTATTAGTGAAATTTAAAAAGAAAACATAAAATTATATGATAATAGTACAAAGGATAGAAGGCAAGAATTGGGAGTACACTGTTCTACAGCTCTTAAACTACATGTGAAGTAGTATAGTATTATTTGAAGGTAAACATGTAATTAAAGATGCAATTGTAAACCTAAGGCAACAAGTAAAAAAACTTAACAGGTACAAATAATAAGCCAATAGTGGAAATAAAGTGGAATTATAAAACAGAAAAAGATGCAAAGACAAAGAACAGATAGAATACAAAACAACCTGAAGGACAACAGATTTTAATCCAATGACAGAAGTGATCACGTTACATGTAAAAGGTCTAAGCCAAGGTTAGCAAACTAGAGTCCCGGAGCCACATCTGGCCCATGCCTATTTTTATAAAATTTTCTTGGAATACCAACATACTGGTTCATTTGCATACTGCCTACAGCAGCTTTCATGTTATAATGGCATAGTTGAATGGTTGCATGACACAGACAAGCATGACCTGTAACCATGTACCATTTGGTCCTTTATTTTAAAAGTCTGTTGGTTCCTGCTCTAAACAGCAATTAAAAGACAGATACTGGGCTGGGAGCAGTGGCTCACGCCTGTAATCTCAGCACTTTGGGAGGCCAAAGCGGGCGGATCACTTGAGCTCAGGAGTTTAAGACGAGCCTGGGCAAGATGTTGAGAAAAAAAAAGTACACGACCAGGCGCGGTGGCTCACACCTGTAATCCCAGCACTTTGGGAGGCTGAGGCAGGTGATCACGAAATCAAGAGATCAAGACCATCCTGGCCAACATGGTGAAACCTCATCTCTACTAAAAATACGAAAATTAGCTGGGTGTCGTGGTGCGTGCCTGTAGTCTCAGCTACTCGGGAGGCTGAGGCAGGAGAATTGCTTGAACCCAGGAGGTGGAGGTTGCAGTGAGCTGAGATCGCGCCACTGCACTCCAGTCTGGCACCTGGCAACGGAGCGAGACTGTCTCAAAAAAAAAAAAAAAAAGTAAAAAAATTAACCAGTCATGGTGGCGTGTGCCTGTAGTCTTGGCTACGTGAGGGACTGGTGCAGGAGAATAGCTTGAGCCTGGGAGATCAAGGCTGCAGTGAGCCGAAAGATCATACCACTGTACTCCAGCCTGGGACAGAGTGAGACCCAGTCTCAAAAGAAAAAAAAAAGATATTGTCAGATTCAATTTTTTTAAGGCAAAGTTCAAAAATATGCCATCTACAAAAACCCTATTTTAAATGAAAGAACAGCTAAGTGAAAAGTGAAAGAAAAATGTTAACCATGTATACACTAATCAAAATGTAAGAATGCCATCATCTGAGTTGATCCAATGTTATTCAAACTAGTCAAAGGAATATGTTAGTCAGCAAAATTCTAAAACAGTAGAACAAAAACTCCTAATTAATGTCTTTCAAATACAATGATAGACCAACTGATAAAAGCCTGGAAAATAAAGTGACAATGCTAGATTTCTCCCCTGCTTCTGGGTTAGTCAAAGGGTAGATGCTCTAATAATACCATTTCCTAAACTATCTGCACATCCTCATTGTTATGAATGAGACTAGCACTGATTGCTTAAAATACAACATCATGATTCCATCTATTTAACGAGACCATAAACTTCTGTATTGTTCCTGGATTTCTAAAACTACAAACTTAGTTGAGTATTACATAAAACAATCACTAAAACCCTCGTTTAGAATAGCAATTTATATTTTTTTGTTTTTATCATAAAGCAACATGCATAATAAAAAATGAGGGAAGGCTGGGCCCAGTGGCTCACGCTTGTAATCCCAGCACTTGGGAGGCTGAGGCAGGTGGATCATGAGGTCAGGAGTTCAAGACCAGCCTGGCCATGACGGTAAAACCCTGTCTCTATTAAAATACAAAAAGTAGCTGGGTGTGGTAGCAAGCACCTGTAATCCCAGCTACTTGGGAGGCTGAGGCAGAGAACTGTTTGAATTTGGGAGGCAGAGGTTGCAGTGAGCCCAGATAGCGCCATTGCATTCTAGCCCGGGTGAAGAAGCAAGACTCCGTCTCAAAAAAAACAAAAACAAAAACAAGCAGAGGGAAAGGATTCTGAAATAATTATTTTAATCTGCAAATCCAGCACAAAGAGAACATTTCTGTGTAACGTTCAGACCCTTAACAATAATAATAAAAAACCAAAAACTACTAAGTTCCCAACTCAGCTCTACTAAAATCAGTTCCTAAATGAAGTGCCAATACTTAATCCTTCTGAAAAAGTTTCTCTAGGCAATTCATGATAAATGATCTGCTGCTTTTGTAACAGAATGAATTACAATATGTTTTATTACTCATTGTGGTAGTATGGGAAGCAATGCCATATTATTGTTGCTGTTATTTTGCATCATAAGCAGTCACAACTTACAAGCATCTATTATATGCATACATGGTTGCCTTATTATATACATACATGGTTGCCTTGCAACCAATGAGAATCTACAGAGGAAAAGAATGTATGGTTTCAGAAAAGAGGCAAAGGAAAACCTGTGAAGAAGAGCAGCAACTTATAGCAACTAACCCTAGAGAAAACTCCCTGATAGAACAGGCCTGTCTGAAGAGTAGCTTTCTTAATTAAAAAAAAAAAAATCTTCACAGAAAGTCTTCAATTATAAAATTATTTGAATTAATAAACATACATTTTAAAAAATATAAATTCCTCGAGCCCCTTCCAGGGCCCCCTTCCCTCCCTCCCACGCTCCCCTCCCCCAACCTCCTCCTTCCCCTCTCACCCCTCCCCCCCATCCTGGCCCCCCCCTGCAAAAGTGGGGAAAGGAGCGGGGAGGGGTGAGAACCCACGGAGTGGAGGAACTAAACTCCGATGAAGTCAGAGCCCCTTACCCGCCACCGAGGCCAGGCCCCCCAACATGGACTGTCTCTGTATAGTGACAACCAAGAAATACTGCTACCAAGATGAAGACACGCCCCCTCTGGAGCACAGCCCGGCCCACCTCCCCAACCAGGCCAATTCTCCCCCTGTGATTGTCAACACAGATACCCTAGAAGCCCCAGGATATGAGTTGCAGGAGAACGGGACTGAGGGGGAGATGGAATACGAGGAGATCACATTGGAAAGGGGTAACTCAGGTCTCGGCTTCAGCATCGCAGGTGGCACTGACAACCCACACATCGGTGACGATACGTCCATTTTCATCACCAAGATAATTCCCGGTGGGGCTGCAGCCCAGGATGGCCGCCTCAGGGTCAACGACAGCATCCTGTTTGTAAATGAAGTGGACGTGCGTGAGGTGACCCACTCAGCGGCAGTGTAGGCCCTCAAAGAGGCAGGCTCCATCGTTCGCCCCTGTGTCATGCATCAGAAGCCCCCAGCTGAGAAGGTCATGGAGATCAAGCTCATCAATGGGCCTAAAGGTCTTGGCTTCAGCATCGCAGGGGGAATAGGGAACCAGCACATCCCAGGAGATAATAGCATCTATGTAACAAAGATCATCGAAGGGGATGCTGCCCAAAAGGATGGGAGGTTGCAGATTGGAGACAAGATCCTGGCGATCAAGTGTGGGGTTGGAGGATGTCATGCATGAAGATGCTGTGGCAGCCCTGAAGAACGTGTATGATGTTGTCTACCTAAAGGTGGCCAAGCCCAGCAATGCCTACCTGAGTGACAGCTATGCTCCCCCAGACATCACAACCTGTGAGAGCCCTTCAAATGCCAAAGCTCCCCATGACCCATCCTGTTTAACCCCATGACATCCCTGTAGCTGTCCTTCTTCAGATATTCCCCATGAAATAGCCACAATCAATGATCCTTGCTGTGGCAGAAGAGATGGAAAAATCAGTTACCATAAAGGAACTAGAGAAGATTGTCAACGATCTCTCCCCCAGAAGGCACAAAGCCCAGGTGGTTTGATGACTAATTTTACGAAATTCTCAAAAGATAGGTAATTTTTCTGCTCTTCCAGAGTACAGGAAAAGATATAAGATTTCACATTTCATTGTGTAAGGCCAGTTCAAATGGTCACAAAGATAACATAAAATAAGGAGAGTATAGACCCGTTTTGCTTCTGAATAGAGATGCAAAAGTTTACAACAATATAGTAGCAAATCAAACATGGCAGCATTTTAAGGGAATAACATAGGGTTTGTTTCAGAACACTAAAGATGGCTCAATATTAAGAAATCTCTTAAATATGATTCATATATTAAAAAGTCAGCCAGGCAGAGTGGCTCATGCCTGTAATCCCAGCACTTTGGGAGGTCAAGGGGGGCTGATCATGAGGTCAGATCAAGACTATCCTGACCAACATGGTGAAACCCCGTCTCTAATAAATATATAAATATAAATATATATA